TTGTCTTTTTGTAGGATATTGTCTAATTGTTTTTGGAGTGCTAGTTTGGTATTCATGAAGTTCCTAAGGTGCTCTTTGTCATGGAAGTTTCTTATTTCTCCATTAATTTGGAAACAAATTTTTCCAGAGTACATCAATCTGGGTTGGATGTTGTTTGCTTTTAGCACTTGAAATATGTCACTCCGCACTCTTCTTGCCTTATGGGTTTGTGTTGTGAAGTCTGCTGTGATTCTGATGGGCTTTCTTTTGTATGTCATTAGTTTCTTTTCTCTAACTGCCTTTAGAATTTTGTTCTTTTGTTGGGTTTCTGCAATCTTAACTATTACATGTCTATGTGTAGATTTTTTTGATCATGGCTAGTTGGAGTCCTATATGCCTCTCTTACCTGTATATCAAGTCTTTTCCCCTGCTTGGGAAGTTTTCTGCCATCATTTCTGTCAACAGTTTTTTTGTGTGTCATCTGCACTCTCTCCTATTTCTTCATTGTCTCAGATCAGTCTGTTTTTCTTCTTTGCATCATCTAGCAGCTGGTGGATTGATTTCTCATGGTCCCTTAGTGTTTTAAAGAAATTTTTCTTTTCCTGTTTACTAATTCCAAACATCTTCTATACCTGAAATTCACATTGGCTCATTCTGCTGTGTAGACTTTCAATGGAGTTTTTAATCTCCTGGAAATCTGTATGCATCTGTTTATGAATTCCATTTGTTTCCTCTGTCAGGATTTCATCATGTTCCTCAGCTCATCTCTGGATTTATCAATCATGAAATGCACTATGGGCACAGCCTGCTGTTATCTGAAAAATATTTCTGATTTCATTTTTTCCAGATCTTTTTTTAATGCTAGTTCAGTGAGTCCAGGTGGTTGATTATCAGAGTGTTCCATCTTGTTTCCAATTGGGGTTGCTGTAGGTGATCTGGAAGTGTGATTTTGAGTCTTGTTTATGTGTCTTCTCATTTTGATGGGGGCAGTGCAGCTGGTGCCCTTGTGGCTCACTTCACTTGTGCTGGGAGTGGTTGTATGTTGGCCAAGAAGCCTACCCTTCTGCTCTAGGACTGATGGCACATCAACCCAGAAGCATCCTTCTCTGTGCTGGGAGACATGGCACATTGACCCGAAAGCCTCCTCCTCTGCACTGGGAGCAGTGGCACATTGACCCAGAAGCCTCCTCCTCTGTGCTATGAGTGGTAGGACACTGGCCTGGAAGGCTCCTCTTCTGCTCTTGGAGTGGTCTTGCTGATATTTTAAAACAATCCTGTTGCTTTGTTTCTCTCTATTGATTTCGTGGTATTATTTTCTTTCTTTTGCTTGTTTCACCTTGATAATCCTTTTCAGTTATTTTTCAGTTGAATACATAATTGATATGAGATATTTCTTAGAGTCAGTAACAGCTATAATTTTTCTATAAGAACTGTCACTGATGCAAACTGTGGATCATTTAAAATTATATATTGACAGATTATGCTTAGATGTATTTGTGAGGAACTAAGCAGTTTTATGATATAATACAATGCCCACAACAAGAAAATCAAGATAGTCTTCACAGATAATACTACTCATTTTTCTGGTGAGAATATTTTAAAATTACTGGTATTGATTTTAAAATATTAAGTTCACTGTGAATATCTATAGTCATGAGACTGTGAAACATTTCAAAAACATTGCTCTTGCTTTCTCACCGAAATCTGTACCCTTTTACCTTCTCTCCTTTCTCCCCACTCCTCAGCTACTGTCTTCTTCAGTGACAACAATCATATTGTTATTTCAAATACAAGTGAAAAGAAATGGTATGTGTGTCTGTGTCTCTCTAGTTTCATGTAGCATTATTAACTCTAAATTCATCTATGTTGATGACAATGACACAATTTACTTATTTTCAAAGATGCAGAGTACATATACCACAATTTCTTCATACATTCATTCCTGGATGAACATTTGGACTGATTTCAAATCTTGGCTATTGTGAATAATATTGGGGTGAACACAGAAGAAATTTCATCATATGAATATCCTTGTGCAGCTTCCTTTGGGTATGTTTCCACTAAAGTTACAGCTAAATCACATGGAAGTTCTGTCTTTATTGATATGTGGAACCTCTAGATTGTTTTCTTTAAGGCTTGCCCTAATTTATATTTCTAGTAATTTTATGCAATTTCTTTCTTTCCTCTGTATCCTAATACTTG